CATCGCCCTGATCCGCGGCATCCTCGGGCTCGGCGTCGTCCAGCTCTTCTTCCTCTTCGGGGAGGTCGCCCAAAGGGCTTGCAGCAGTCCGAGCTTTCGGTGTGGCCCCCAGCCTCGTGGCCGAAGGCGCCCGAGCTGCCGTCGCAGTTGAAGACCCAAGGTCCCCCAAACGTTTCGGCCCCCGCCCCGCCAAAGAAAGAAGGTGATGCATCTGCTCCGATCCCAAGTTCGTCCGGCTGCCCTCGGCGAACAACTGGGGAGCCCAAGCTGGTGCGCCCTCCACGGGTGGAGGCCCCAAGGAGCTCCCTGCTGGTTTGCTCGGCTTGTTCTCCAGGCTGCTCAGTCGGCTCTCGATCTCGTCCAGGCTGGCCAGCCGCCTCTGGATGCCACTCAGCAGCCCGGCTTGGGAGCTGCTTTGCTGAAGCAGCTGATGCAGCACCTCGGCAGCGCTCTGCTCCCGGTCTGCCCCTGCGGTTGGAGCGGCCGGTGCTTCGCGAACCTCCGGCTCGGAACCAGTCGCCGTGAAGTAGGCCTCGAGCCGGTCGTCCACATCCTCGCCGTTGAGGAAAAACTCCAGAGCCTCTAGTGTACGAACACGGGAGGGCCAGACTGACTGAAGCCTCACCACCCCAAAGGTTTTCACCGCCAAGGCCGGGTCGGCTTCGACTGACAGTGAAGGGGCTTCGGCAGCTTGCATGTCGATAAGGAGGCATGGGACTGTCTTCTTGAGCTCCCGGCCAATGGTGCCCACGGCGATGATGTTGACCTGGGTCCAAGGTCCCAGGTTCCCGGTGTACTGCTCGTCGGTGGCCTGCTCCAGCTCCTCGTCGTTGATGGCGCCCTGGGGCAAGCATAAAATGAAACCCGCAGGAATGGCCTTCACCACGAAGGCCTGGCTGCAAATCCCGCCGCGTGAAAACCACAGCTTGCTGTAGCCCCCGACCGCCTCGGCCGTGTGGTAAGAGCCAAGGTAGTCGAGCCCATGCGAAGTCATTGGTCCCTCCGCTGAGGAAGGCCCTCCAGGCCCGCCCCGTAGCAGAAGGCCTCTGCCTCCGACTGGCTTGCAAAGCCTTGCGACACTGACTCAGGATCCCAGGTGCCGCCCGGACCGGTCTTGACGTACTTGAAGTACACGTGCTTGCTAAAGGTGATAAAGGGCTCGTTGATGCTTCCACAGAACAAGACGATATAGCACACCCTGCGCCCCGAAGCCCCCTCCGAGCTGTAGCAAGTGGCCTCGCCTCGCACTATAGCTGCCGCCTCCCGGCCGCGAAGATAGGCTGCACTGATGCGTTCCGAGGGGCTCCCTGAAGAAACCGAATGCAACGCCCTAGCAAGCCTAAGCACCGAACTTGGACAAGCAGCAGGAGTGTCGCGAAAAGCCCAAGACAGGTCGTGCGCCGCACCTGTGGAGGGCTCTGCAGCCCGAGCTGGGGAGCGTCCTGAGGCAGCTGCCGAAGGAGCTGCCGAAGAACCTGTGTGTCGATCACCCTGGTCGGCAGCAATGGTAACAGTGATAGTCAAAGAGCGCAGTTGCGATTCCAATAAACGAATGTTCAAAGGATCGGGGTCACTGCTCATGCGCGTGGCCCCTGTACCGGGCCAAACGCTGACCACCAGCAGACACTGGAGCTGAAGGGGAAAACTCTCTCACACAAGACCCCAAACAGCCCCAGAGGATGTTCCGAGCAGCGCGGCTGAAGAAGAGCCCAGTCACAAAGACACCGAAGCCGAAGCCGCAAAGCCAGCTCACGAGAACAGCAAGAATGAAGTCGCTGGAGCTATGGCTAGAGCACCCAAGCCACCCCAGTAAGAGTGGCCAGACCCCGGGCCTATCAAACATTCCCTAGATCCGAAAAGCTGCCGAAGTGCAAAGTGCTGACTGCAATCACTGTAAAAGTCAAGTTCGATCCACTGCTACGGTTACTGCTACGGCTCTTACCACTACCACTACCACCGCCGCCGCCATCCTGCTAGCAGCCCAACCACCACCACTGCCACCACTACCACTGCCACCACCACCACCATCAGCACCACAACCACAAGGATTGTTGTTCTTGTTGCTTCTGCTGCTGTCGTTTTCAAAAATACTAATCAGCATAATACTATACCGGCAAGGATACTGCCTTACAGTAACAGTAACAATGATATCATGATAGTGCCCATTTTGGTCGTCTCTTTCGTTTATGATGCCGCAGGACTTGTAGGTCTGCTTTTTCAGCTTGCGCTAGATTGCAATGAGACATAGCTTTGTCCAACCGTTTTCGTGTCTACGGTGGTTTCGCTGGGCCTCCTCTCCTTTGGGCAGGATGAGCATGTCCACCGGCTTCCCCAACCTGCAGTGCCATAAGCAATCTACTGACCTCGGCACACCAGCCTTGATGCAAAGGCGCTTCGCTGCCACTGACTCGAGCTGGGCCTTGGCAACTCCCCTCAGAACAATTCACCAACAGACTTGAGTTACCTCATCGCATGAGACTATAGATTGCTGAGAGCGGCACGGCAGAGTTAAGGAATCCTTCCCACAGCACGGAGACGAACAGATCCGCCTTGTTCACCTCTCACTAAGCTGAGTCTAGAGCTGCTCGCCCGAAGGATCCAGGAGTTGGCTTGGCTTAGATTCGAGCCTTGCTTCTCCAGATTGCTTGGCCTGCAGCTTTGGGCAAACCATGAGCCAAACCATCGAGCCCTTTGGAAGCTCGAAAAGTCCGACAAAGGTGTCTTCGGGACCCATTCATCTTTCCCTACTTTCTAAGGGGCTCATAACAGCTGTGGCCGATTTGTTCAAATCGCTGTCGCGATAGGCGAACATCACTTGCAGTTTAGTCTCCCTCTGCTCGCCTATTTTTTGAATTAGTGACAGAACTCCACGTGTATGCGCAAGCCACTATTCTTGGACAAGTCTTGTTCGTGCAGGTGGGCCCTTCCAGGAGTTTAACACAAGCTTCATGCACCAAACCAAATCCGCAAGACAGGGTGGGAGTGGTTTGAGCTGAGTCTTGCGAGAAGTCCCAGTGAAGGCAAGCAACGGGTGAGCGCGCTATAATTTAGCCAGTGCTTGAAATGGATAGAAACCCGTTCCGGACTTGAGAACCCTTCAAACAGCTTGTAGCAGAATGAAAGATCATGACATCATCAACGACACGAACGAATGCTCCAAGGCCGTCGAAAAGTCTATGCAGTCAAGCGAAGGTCACGGGCCAAGCTCCCCACCAACGACTTCAGCAACGCTTGGCGAGACCTGAACCGTGCAATAACATAAACCCGGCCAGGAGATCTACAACTTCTTCACTTCTCATGTCTTCCATGCGATGCCCTGCTTCCATGCCTGCAAGTGCCGGACCTTGGAGCACTTGGTGGCACTTGAAGCGACTGCAGATTCTGCCGCTCGGTGCCTGACTCCCATCTGCAAAGCCTCTGCCACGTTGGAAAGCGATGGTCTGCCTCTCAGCTTCTCACAGATAGAAACATTCAGAACATTTTGCTCGTCCAAGATTGACACCGCGTCCGGAGATGGAGAGGGCAAGCAGCCTCGTAAGATGCGCTAGCAACAAGACGTTGGTCCTTAAGTTCCTGTGTCGTGCTAATTCTGCTAGCTGTTCATCTGACAGACTTGCGATTGCACCGTGATGGCCAGATTCGTAGGGCATCCCATGTCTGGAAAATCCTGCATCCAAACATCCTCTGTCTTGCATGGACAGGAGTATTGCTACATGCTGCGTACTGGCTGGCATGGGGACGGAATCAGACAAACAGCTTCGCGCCGCGGCTTTGCAAGAAGCAGATCGATGACTTCTCCCCTCCCGATCGTGTCCAAAGAACGATAAGTAAGATCCATGCGGCATTGACACACCACCCCTCAGTTGAAGGGTTGCTGCCTGCGCGGATACAGGATGAGTGCCATCCAATAGCAGCACCCTTAACGCCACCCATGACGACACAAAGGCTCGATTCTGAGAGTATCCCATGGACTCAATCTGCACTACTCGGCAAAGGCGGAACTGACCTCGGTCTCTGCGGGTATTTGGACGACAGCCTCGGCCGGGGCGCATTCCAAACGGGCGATGTGGCAGTTCTCAGGAAGCCACCTTCCGATAAAGCAAGCTTGATGGTTCAGCGCTTCGTTGACACATGTCACTCCTGTAGTAATGCACCATAATTACTCGGGTGGCCACAAGGGGAAACGGAACTCCAAGCCCAGCGGAGTCAATGGATGCCTCCAACTTCGCACAAACGAAGGCTGCAGCGACGTATCTCTTCCAATAGCATCTCAACCTCGTGCAGCATCGGGTGAGCAGACCTTACCCAAACAAGACGGGATCTGCTGTGGTCGCATGCCACATGCGAGAGGCAGCAACCAAGAAGCAGACAAAAGAGGAGTCTGCAGCGACAACTGCCTGAAGTCATCGGCAATGACCGGTAATGTGCATGGAGCAACTACCTACATCTTACCGCCTTACCATAGAACAAAAACATGAACAGCACACTCGCCTTCTCAGCTCCGACACCTTTTCTGCAGCCTGCAGGACGCAGGAGTGCACAACGCTAGCACTGTTGACGACATTTCCTCAGCCACCCGGCTGCGAACCAGAATGCGAGCCAGACTGAACTACGATGTAACTACGAGATTTACGAGATGGAATTACCCTCAACCTGGTCACATGCAGGCTTTAGTTAAAAGCTTACGTGCTGGATTTCCTGCTGCTGGGTCTCCCAACCACAAGCCACAACTTCCCAACTGCGGAAGGTAGACGATGGAAACTGGCCGTGCTTGCACAAAACTTCCAAGGCCTGGCAAGCCTTCCAAAAGCCTTGCCGAAGTCTCTCAAAAAAGGCCCGGCCGAAAATCCTCAAACTCAGGCATGTGTTATTTTGGTCAAGGAACTCCGTTGAATGTATGAGTTCAGGAGGCTATGAACAAAATCATCGGCATTGGTCTTCAAGCATAACTGCGTAAGTAAATTGTAAGATATCGACGACTCAATTGTAGAATGCTGAGAATTTCTCATCCGCACTTTTATTCTACACCTCAGGTGTGTGTGAGGCCATGCTCACTCGTACCACGTTCGAGCAACCCGTCGGACAGAGGCAAGTGCACCTCGGTAAATTTGCCAGCATCGGGCGTCGCGAAAAAACTGCCGATGGCCTCTGCTGTCCTGCAACACTTCACAGCACATTCCGTCTTGAAACTGAGCTCGAAGTGTTGTCCTTTCTGCGAGCTCGAAGTGTTGGCCTGGCCGGAGTAAGCCACAGCATTAACATACTGAGATAAAGTGACAACCACGCAGAAGCTTCCAGCAGGGTCAAGACGTGTATGCTAAGCATTCGGTCTGTTTGCGTCTTGGAGGCAGCATGTACACAAAGCATGGCCGAAAACGTTCTGTGAGACATCACAGCCCCAAGATGACGGTTCGCTTGAAGTTCCGCATATCGCTTGGCAACTTCACAAAAACGAACTGCCTCCTGTGAACTTCCTCGCTGCCAACAGATTTGCCACGGCATAGCGCCAAGCCTCAAGGCACAAGACATTCTGCAAGAAATACAGAGGCACGGCATTGCCGTGCCACAACCCCTTACGTAGTGTTAATGGACTGTCGCGTCTGATCTGTGGCTATGCTTAGCAAAACGGCCCTGGACCCACGTGCTTCTCGAAAAAAACCTGAAACTGCTTTGGGACAGGGAAATTTCGCCTCCACAGCTGCCCATGGTTGAGCACAATCCTGCAGAATGGCCGTCGCTGGCTTGACAAGTTCTTGTCGACAACACAACACAAAAACAAAAGCTAAAGACACTGAACCAAGACGGAAACCATTAAACCCGCAAGGCCACGAGGTTACTTAGCACGGCCTGGAAACGCTTCGCCACCGCGCAACCGAAGGAATCACCTGACAACATGACATATCAGCGTCGTCAAGTTCGCGTTGCTCGCAAAACCGTCGTTCCGTCAATCAATCGTGCTTGAATTCAACTCAAGAACCACCCCTCGATGTAGCACGCACCTTCTCATCCAAACCTTTCCAAAACACAATAATTGCTGCTCTGCTCACCTGCTTGCAACGCCCACTGCGCTGCCTTCCCAACAACGAAGCGTGTGCACAGTGCTGAAACCATGCTCTTATGCCACACAAAATCGGACAACAGTGTCTGGCAACCTGGGCAAAGAAAGGGAAAAGTGCTGCAAAGCATGTTGCAACTTTGCCTCAATAAGCGGCAGGCGCGAAGTGTCAACAACAGCAATCGTCTGCACCAACAGCCAACATGCTAACCATGTCATGCAACTTAATGATAACTGGCACGAATTTCAAAGTTGCATGTCTGGTAGCACAAACGAAACGCGTCTGCACACATTCTGACGCCGTTGCCACTGATTACATTTTCCATGCACACCATAAAAGCTGAAAACGTCGTTTGAACCTGCACAGCTGCAATGCTACAACGGTGACAAGCGGTCATCGAGCATGGAAGGGACCTGACACGAAAGCGGTCTGAACCACTAACCCAAAGTTTTTGTGCGAGCCAGTATTGCACCGCAATTTTTTCAATTGAACGCTGCACGAGCGTGCTCTGCGCGCTTAACGGGCGCGTCCGATGCTCACGAACCAAGGCCGGATGGGTTGTACTCAGATTACAGCGTCTGAGCAGCGCTGGCGAGAACGCGTGAGAAAAGGTAGTGACAACCTCAGCGATCGTGCACTGGCCGGTGCAAAATGCACTTGATGGTACCTGAAAAACAGCTAGTGAGCCTTGCAGTACTGTGGAAGTCACTTGCTATGTCCTGCGTTTTTGGTGGTTTCTTCGGCCCTATAATACTGTGCCCACGTGATGAAGCAGAGGCACCATTCGACGGCCGGCTGCATGAGCCACAGGAACGTAAGACTGACTGCAGGCTTCAAGAACCACAGGAATTGTTGGACTCCATGGCCCCAAGCTTGCAAAAGGCAAAGCCTGACTTACTAAGTGGAAGATCTGCAGTGATGGGAACCCGCCTTTTGCAACGTACGCAACACCCAACAGGAACGCAGCAGGACACTGCTCTCATGACATTCCTGAAACAAAGCCTAAAAGGGACCAAGCAGGACCTTCCTGCAAAGCCGCGGTGGGAGGATAGAATTATTATCCCATAAAACGCATTTACAGGAACATCTGTTTGGTGAGCATTGCGCATCACATCTGTGTGGTAGCACTTTGATTCTAGTGGTCTCCGGTCCGGCCGCGTGCCTTCTTAGTCCATCAAGGACATGAAGGCTCCTGCGTGGTCACGCTGGAAACATGGACGAAACTCTCTCTATGGTAGGGGTATGGCAGATGCACTTTTGTTCGTCCCCCCCAGAATTCCGACTTTAAGGCCTGCTCGATTCTTCGCTCTAAAGGCTCAGAGCTCAAAGATCTTCGGGGCCTCAAAGTGCTTGCAAAATCCGTTTTCGCCAGCATGCGGCTTCGAGACGGAGCGAGAGGGCTCGCTCCGTCTCGAAGCCGCATGCTGGCGAAAACTTTGACGGAAGGCTTCGTTCTCTAGGTTGGTCCGAAAGGCAAACGCACCTAGAAGAAAGACCGGAGCACGTTCTCTCTTTTTTCCGCTGTGGTTGCGGTGTCAGTGCGGAGCGGTGCGCGCTCGAAGGAAAGTCTGCAGGGCGAGCTTTTCCCAGCACGCGGAAGTGCCATGCTGGGCGCAGAGAAAGGACCGAAGAGTTCTACGACTTCGAGTAGAAAACGGCTGCGGGCAAACCAAGTCAACGACAGCCGACTCTGCCTACAGTGCGTAAGACCTAAAAGCAGACTGCAGTGCAACAGAGAAGAGCTGGCGGCGCACGCGTCGAAGGAGTACCTGGGCCAGTCGCAAAGTACTAGACGACAACAGAAACAACAAGAAACGCAAGGACGGTTTCTCAAGCAGATATGCGGCGCGCACTAGCGCATGCTTTGCGTCTGCAGAAAGGTTCTTGTGGAAACTCTGAGAACTGCGCTGCAATGCCCAGTTCCATGCCGCACGCGGTGCGGCTGGAGGCGGAAGATGATCCCGTGCCACCTGCCCCAAGGTCCTAAAAACGTGCAAAGCGAGCCGAGTATTCCGCCTGGACCACAAGCGGCCTGCCTACCTGAGAGGCCGTGCTAGAAACTGAAGAAGAAAGAGCTGGCACTGGCTGCGCGGAGCAGCGCCGCTTTCTCAACCATTGCTGCCTCTTCGTCTGACGGTGCTCTCAAACGGGGCGATGCCTGGTCGTCGTCCTCGGGTTGTGTAGGCTGTGCCTGCGAGGCGTAGGCCAAGTGGCCGGGCATTGCTCCGCCACAAGTGCTTCGTGGCGCGTCCAAGATCCCTGCAGCAACGCGGCTGCCGGTAGAGAAAAAAGCGGTGCACCTGAAGGGAGGCTAAAAGGTGGCTCCGGGATGGGTACCTGTCCCCCCCGTGCGATGCTGCGCTCTGCCCTCCATCCTGAGGCTAGAGCTTTGCTGATGCTGCGCTGAACATCCAGGCTTGCGAAGACATCATTGCGGGAGTAGAGAGCCGCGCTGTCTCTATGGTGTCCTTGCATGAGAGGCGCAGCTCTTTGTCCAACCTAAAAGCTGTGCTGCAGAAGCGAGCGCTGTGCTTTTCATGCTATGCCATGCAATGTCAGTTGTTTGGCCTCGGCCGTGCGCAGCATGCCCTGGCTGCTGCCAGGGTAGCGTAGCTGCCCACCTGAGCACAAGCATTGCGGTGCAGTAGGATGCCGGTGCTATGTCTTGCAGCGCCGACAGCTCTGGCTGTGCATTGAGCCAGAGAAAGTCAACCTGCTTAGCCTCCGTGTTGGTTGACTGGAGCGCTTCGTGCAGTGCCGCAAGCCAGTGAAGTGTCCAACACGACGCAGTGCATCTCCCCGAGATGCCACAGAGATACACCGCGAAAGGCTGTCCCTGGTTTGTCGTTTTTGTTGCGTAGCAGACCCCGTGCAGAGCAGTGCAACTCAGCGACAGTGAAGAGACGTCTATGCGTTGTACGTCTCCAAAACGCAAAAGTTAGCGGCGTTGCCAAAAGAGGATTGCCCCAAAGGGCCAGCCTGGTGCACAAAGCGGTGCGTTGCTGGCAAACAAGTTGCTCCCACGCTGCCACAAGGCACCATGGGATTGGCAATGCTTCTTTGCGGTCTGCTGCGGTGCCACGTACCGCATAGGCTTTACCACCGGGCTATCCAGCGCTGTGCCTAGCGATGACCACTGAGCCTGGCGGGCCAGCCAGCGCAGTGCTTTTATCGCCGACTGTGCTGAAATCTGGTGTACCTTCCTGTCTTGGCTGTGCGATGCGCGCGCCGCCGCTAAAAAATCGAGCAGGTGCTGTAGCGAGACTTCGCTAAACCGAACATCAGAGCTTGTGAGAAACATAAGAAGCAACCAAGCAATGCGAAGATATACCGCTCCAATGTCCTGGGTCTGTAATCCCGAAGCACTGCTGCCATGTGCTGTGCAGAGTCCTTGCAGCTGTGCAGTGACTGGAAAAGAAGAGATGCCTCCGATAGATTGTGCACAATTTGGCACCAAGACGTGCAGCATGCTTGCATTCGGAGCTGCGATGCTTTGCGGGTGGAGTTCGATATCACTCGTAGAGGCCGAGGTGGGTGACATCGAGGCCTCGATTCCATCGCCTGTGCTTGCGGTGGCGGTGCCGGTGCATCCGGTGCCGGTGCAATCGGCGGGGCACGCTGTTGCAAGCTGCGAGGCGGTGCCGGCGGGGGAGGAATTTCTAACCCCCCTTTTGATGCTGGTACCCAACCTGCTGGGCTGTGCGGCACCCAAAAAAAGGGCCTAGCCAGGTCCCCAACGGTAGGCAGTGGGCCATGCGAGTTCACTTTGACATTGAAGCGAGATGGCTTTGCTGAGGCCCCCAGCGTCTCTGGCGACGATGCGGGCCGCTGTGGTTGGCTGCGCACGTGCTGTGCTCTCCGAAAAAATCGATGCAAGTCTACCAACTCAGGTTGCGAAGCAAGGCTGGGCGATTTTGGTGTTTGGGGCGATGCCACACGCGACTCCCCTCCATGCGACGAACGGCCCATCGTTTCCTCATTGCTGTGCGGGGCTATGCAAGAAAGCACAACTAAACAACTAGAGATTTGAAAAGCTGAGCGGCGCCCTGAGCCAAGCAAAGACACAAGACTACCGCAACAGTGCAAAGGGCCGAGACGAGGTGCCGACAGTGCCCAGCTTGCGAGAAAACATCAAGTCACAAAGCAAGGCAGTGCAACACGAAGAATCACCCTGATCTGTGCATGTACATGAGCTGTGCTGCTCCACAATTCCAATCATCGTTGTAGTTCCAAGTATCAAGACAATGCGGTTATCATTCTTCTCGACTTGCAGTACTACAGTTGGAGCAGGCTGCGAAGCAGCGTGCAGGCAGTGCTCCAGAAGACGGTGTGTAAAGAGATTGGACCGATCGCAAAAAAAAAGCTTGTCTACAACCTGAGAGCCGGGACGAAGCTTCTAGAAAACGAAAAAACACAGGTTGACCGGAAAAGTGATTCTACGAAACAGCATCGATGCGGTACTAAAGTAAGCTGGCAGAAGCGGTGCCAGATCATGGATGCAGCGCTCAGTGCTGACGCGTTTGGCAATTCAGAAAGATTCAAAGCATGCGCAACCATGTCTGCGCGTTGCAGTGCAGATGCACACGAATAAGCGCGTTTTGGGGTTCAAGAAATCTTAAACAAATCCAGTAATGCTTCTTCCGCGAAAAAACCAACACCATGTTGGAAGATGCAGCGCAAAAGAAACAAGAAATGCGATAAAAGCGTAGCAAGGCCTCACCAAGGCGTGGTAGGTGGATTCAGGTAAGTGAAGCTGCATAGAGCACTCTATGGTGTCTTTGGCGATCTTGAATGGTCTGAACCAACCGTGTAGTAAGGTGAGTTCGGAGCACGTTAAAAACCTAGAAAGCCTACGGACGCTTTCAGGGCTTCAAGCAAACTTACCAAGCACCCTTGCAAGCAAGCAAGCTCACAAAACACTCGGACAGTCCGCACTTTCAGCACGCACAGCTCACTGCTGGTCTCGTGTCTTGAGCCAAACGACAGTAGTCGTGGCATCTCTTAAAAGCTCCCAAGACAGGTAAAAACAAGTGAGGCAACAGCCAAAACTACCGGCACTGCTCAAACTACGTTCTACAGGCACTAACCACCT